TCCCCATCTTTCCTGTAGGCCCCCTTTTCTTAAATTAGTTTTAGAAAAGTTAGTTTTTAAAATTACAGTGGATGTAGGGAATGACAAAAAAAAAAAAAGAAAAAAATGAAAAAAGAAAAAAGTCTTATATTTAAATCAAGTAAAACAAAGTACAAGTCAGCCCTCAGAACTGACCTGAGGGGGCTTCCGCAAGGCCACCATGCCTGAGGCGCCATCTTATCACAGCCTGGGGAAGGATCCCTGGGGGAATATGGCTGGATTGGCCTGTCCTGCACGACCTACGGCTGGGCAGGGAGCACCTTTCACACGGCTGAGGAGAGGAGGCAGCTCGGAAGCAACATGAGGAACTTTTTAATACACACACAGGCTTGTTCATCAATGAAATTGGACTCAAGTGGAGCTGGGACTTCCTGTTCTTCAACAGCTAACGGCGTATGAAGAGCTGGTTAACCATAGGCTAGTATAAAGGCACAGTATATTTGCACCATAAAAGGGAGAACTGCAGGCACTGGAAAAGAAAACTTGTGTCCCATGGGTGCATACTTATATATGTAAATACACACACCTCTATATTTAAAAAATGCATGCCCCTTCTGTATTTTATTAAACAATCCAAAAAGGCAAGACCTGATACCAAAAGGAGATTTAAAAATTATCTAGAGGCAGCAGTTGAACCCCACCTCCTTGACAATTCTGCATCCAGGAGCAATCCCAGTTCTATCAAATTACCTTTCCAAAATTATCCTGTGCCTGCCTCTATTGACACTGAAGACTGTTAGTGCCTCAGATGATCCACATCATAAAAGGAGTGGATCAATAGCCCAGAAACCTGTTACATTTCTGTCCATGCTTTTGACTAGTATTTGCCCTGGTTGACAATGAGGCATGAGTTGTGCTTTGTAGCATCACAAGCGCTTGCAGCTTGAAAGGTGCAGCCTGCTCACTGGTGTGAAGCAGAGCAGCATTTACTGCAAGCCTAACCAGCCAGGCAGAAGGGGTATATTACAAATCATGAGCATTTACGACTCAAGTGCGTGTGGGGTGAGACATAAGCTCTTTTGGTGCCACGTTCTACCATCGTCTGTTAAATACACAAAAAATCTAGTGAAGAAAACAATTGCTCAGCAATTGGTCTTCAAAAACTAACAAAGGCCCCCAAATAATTCTTTACAAATCATTAAGAGATATCAAGATAAGGCTAATGTTATCCTCTCCTTGGCCACTCTTCTCCCTTCTCTGCTTGGGTACCTACTTTCATAAAACTTACATCTTTGGGTGCTACTCCTTATCTGCCATTTTAGTTAAAATCTGCCCATGAAGTCAAAAGTTACTGGGAAAATGAGAACATGACATGCTCTTACTTTCTTAGGAAACTAGTTTAAAAAATAATCATTATATGGAGCTAGTGTTTGAGAATTGGCTTTGGGGTGAACAGAGAAATCAAACCTCAAACCACTGTCAAGGCTTATACTCCTATGTCTGGACCTGAACTCTTGCCAAGAGTTTGGGATTTTGTGAGGCAGGCCTGCCAAAGCAGTGAAACAAACAGAATTAACTTCCCATCTCAGAACCTTGCAAATATTTATAAATCACCTCTTGATTTACCCCATATTCACTTTAATTCTATTGTTGGCCTTGCACATCTTTTCTGAGAACAGGAACTGAGTGATGATGACATGTTGCAAACCAAAATAATTGAGGGAAATAAAAGGAAATGGCACAGTGGCTGCCTCAAAATGCTTTCCTGCCATCTTCTGGACTTTCCTGGTAATGACAGGGAAGAAAGGTCTCCATTCACAACTTAAAATTCTGGATTTCAGCAGCTGTGTCTATTACAAGAAAACAACATTCATGTTTGCCGCAGTATACACATATTTTGGCTCTTAAAAGCAAGACTATCACATTCGTGATTCAGCTCAGCAAGGAAGACCAACCAATGGGAGAAAAGTTAGTAAGGGAAATACACTCTCTGGGGAGGTGGGCAGAGTCAGGTCAGAACAGCCACGCATGCAAGTTGCCCACTCAGATGAAGAGGAAGTACACGATCCTCGCGACACTCCAACATGTTCTGGAGCAATCACTACCTTTCAGTGAGAACTTGCAAAGATAAAACACTATCAGACTTTAACCTGTGACAATCATGTAGAAGACAGAATGTAATGTTATTGCCACCAGAGAAAGAAAAACGGGCATAGCTTACTACTTGCCTGCAGAACTGAACATGCCCTTTAGCAAATGAAGACATTTGGTTCTGTAAGTAGGTGTCTTTGACATTTACTGCCAACTGCTGGGGACAGGTGATCTCTGCCATCCCTTGTTCCTAAAAAGGAGACTGCAACGTTATAATTACTACACAGTACTGTAAGATTCAGGAGTTCTACAGTAAATAAAATACATAACACTCAATTTATCTTTTATTTAAACCTTGTCATATATTTTCCTTCTTGACATTTCAGTTAGTACATTTTTCTGATTTTAAAAATCAGATATTAGAATTTATCTGAATATTTCTGCTGCCAATTTTTACGGGTGAATTGATATGTTCATCTCTATTTGCAAAAAGTCACATAAGTGATCCTTCAAAATGTAGAATTTAATTGTCACAAAACAGGCTACAGAACACTTGAACTTAATTTTCAACTATCAAAAAATTGATTAATTTTAAAAATATCAAAAAAAATCAGGAGAAAGACAAGCAACTGAAACAAGCCCTAGCTCTGCAATACATATTCAGATTGCCTGAATAAGGAAAGACTTACGTTTGCTACTTAAATCACAAGCAACATAATGATTTCACTGAAAACAAAATAGCAGATTGACTTCGAAGATACACCTCAATTGCTCCAGAGTTCATCTGGCCAAATCAGCTCACCTGACTTGGTAATTAATAGTTACATTTGCAGTAACACAAAATTTAGACATTTAATGTTTGATCTAAGGGCATAAGCAAATGAGGTTCATAGATACACTGTTGTCTTATGAGAAGTTCCTACCTTTATAATTGATTAAAAAAAAATTAGTGTTTGTTGCTGCCCTTTATCTAAGCATTCTTTATTGATACACCTAAGATACACGTATCAGCCAATACTCATTCATATGTGCCATTTAATACTAGAAACTAAGTCTTGATGTATCGAGTCTTATGAAATTGTGTATAAACAGTGAAATGTACCAGAAATATTTTATTCACATCAGTAAACTGAACATGTTTATATTACAATAAACAAAGGACAAAATTTGTTCAAAAACTTTTATTTACTATAAAGACAAAAGACACCAAAATAGGTACAAATTATACTATATAAAATTGGTTCAATGGGGTAAAAACTTTTAATTAAAATATCTTGATATATTTAAAATAACAAAGGATACAATGAAGCCAAATTTCTTAACCCAGAGATCTCCGTAAAATTTGCTTGCACAGTAAGGTGCTAATAGAAGTTAGCCCTTAAGCCCTGGAAGTCTTAGGAATCAGTCACATAGCAAATATAATTTCATTGTGAAAGTGAACTTTGGTAGAAGAAACTCTATAGGACACCTGAGGTAGTAGAAACTGGAATAAACAGCAGTAGACGTTATTTACAACTTAAGTACCAAATAACATTAAGAACACAAAAAAATATTACACAATACAATTTTCAGTCCAGCTTTGATCCAAAGAAAATAAGAATATTACATCACATCTGCATTTTAAAAACACCACAATTACCAGCAAGCTGAGGGAAACGCAAACAAACTCAAACAAATGCATTTGGACACCTAGAGGCAGTTTGAGTTTGAAATGTGGTAGGCATGGTGATCTACAAAGTAATACTGATTAGCTGAGGTTCATCAGTTTATACAGTTTACATTTCTGCCAGAAACAGTATTAATCTGACAACTGATCTTCCAGTACATGAATTGGCAAGAGTGCATCCTTTAAAGCTTGCACATAAGAAAAGACTTGGAAACAATCTTATTAGAATGAGAAATTCTAAAGTGGTCAAAAAAAAAAAGTCAAGTACAAAACAGTTAGAGCTACCAAACTTCACATTTCGGTATTACCTGTTTAACTCTTCAAAGTCTGCCAATCTTCCAAAACAAAGGAATGTAAAATTTCCAAAAGAAACACATTCACAACTAATGACACTGCTTTTTTTAATTAGTATGAGCACTATCATTCCTGTAAACTTATCTTTAAGATGTTTTACTTCCAATTGTATTGTACATTTTTAACGTACTATAGCTTATTCAGTTTGTCCTGAGTCTTTGAAAATAACCAATTCTATTTCAGTCCAACAATCCAACTGGCTTCTGAAGAGTTAAAACATTAACAGTATTTTTTTCCAAATGGATTAAACACAATCAGTATTTGATTTAAAAAGATCCCCATCTTAAAAAAGCAAAAGAAAAGCTGCCATTTTCCTTCAGAATTACATGCATCAGAATCTAAAAACCTGCCTTTAAATTATTTTAAAAACCTGTTTTAAAAAAAAAAACACACCTGCTAAAAGACACAAGTTTTGCACTACAGGTGAAGCTTTACTTCACATTTTACTTTGTCTTGCTTTTCAAGTCCAAGTTTGTTTCTTGTTAAAATAAATAACTTTCTTATGGTAGTATTTTTAACATTTTCAAATTAAATTATCACTAATGGCTACAGTAAATAGATGATGTACGGCAGAAGGAAAACAGCAGGTAAAACTTGTTATCAGTAGCAAATGTAACCTCAGTTTTTTTACACAAAGAATGAGATTTGCTCATAGTTGGCACCCGCTTCCGCTGAAATACAGGACAAAGTCTCCCATAAACTTCAGTGGGAGCTGCATTTGGGGCCTTTGACTGAAACTTCTCTACACCATTTGCTAGAAGAAACTGCTATATGAAAAGAAGGCTCAATAACTTTAGCATGATTCAGACTAGGTTGTTTTATGCAGAACAACCTTGTTTTTCTGTTTTATTTTTTAAATAACACATGCTATCTAAACCTTCAACACTGCCTTGTTGAAGGTACCATTTTATTTTATTCCAGATTTCCAGCAAATCTGTTTTTAAAACTCTTGTATCAGCAAGATGTTCTATGACACAGCTTGCATCTTTTTCTAAAGACTATTTTAAAAGATCCCCTTTCCCTGAAAGTTAAAAATACAATGAAAACAAACTTTAATTTCAAAAGAAATTACATGGCCAGCAGTAAATGCACAGTGAACCACAACTGCCTGCTCTTACTTTAAAGGAAGGCAAAATGTTTTTTTAAAGTATCCATCAATGTTTGGATTTGTTACTCAGAGAACTTTGTGTAATTAAAAAGGACAGATACAGAACTTCCTTTTAACCAGTGCTGAAAACTGACTAATTGCAGAACCCTCTGCTTACATCTACATGATATGAAATGGAACAGTGATTGCTATATTAAAATAGATCCTGAGCCCCTCAGCTGCTAATATTGCTGAAAAAGTGCTCCAAATAAAATAAAAATCACTTCTCTGCTAAATAATCATGCAGATTTAAGGAAGAATGCTTTTGTGTTCACATAGAGCCAGATGTTTGAAAAGGCACAGTTTACAAATCTCTGCACAAGTTCTGAAATGTTGCATACTGAGCTTAGGTAAAGATCTTGATTTGTCAATCACATACTTAGGTAGGGTCCTCTACTGGCCTTACGTCCTTGATGTATCATTAAGGCCAGCAGAATAATGCAGTGCCATTAAGCACAGCAAATTGTAAGACAGTTATTGTATATTCAGTAGCATCTTCTCCAGTATGTCAGCCTTAGTAGCTACCATGTAGTACGGAAGACTGGGTGTTTCAGCAGCTCCCTTGATGGGGGTCTGTCCTGAGGTTGAAGTTCTAAACACCGAAGAGTCACATCTTTCAAGCCAGGAGACAGATGTGTAGGGATTGATGGAGCAGTAGTGGCGCTAGCAATCTGAATAAAAGGAAAATAACTTTTTAGAAGTCAGTGATTCTTAAGCCCCCTCTCCTATGCCAAAAACCTTCCACAAGCTGATGATTTTCAGCTGACTAGTTATATTTATGAGTTTTTCTCCACTTAGCATATTTCCTACTGCAGTTTGAAGATTACATTACTGCTTCCATTTTATGAAATGGGTCTTAAGTTGCTCTTATGCCTATGGCCTTTTACAGTCTACCTCTCTCCTTGCACTTTTCTCTAAATTTTCTTCTTACAGCAAGATTCTGTAGGGGCCATCTGCTGAGCAGGTCATAAGAAAAGCTCTTATGCCATACATCGGGTATTCTTTAGTCTGCTAGTTGCCATCACTGTTAACTAGCATAAGCCAACATGGAGATATATTAAGCTGAGCGATGTTACATTATGCTACGTTAAGCTGGGTATGGTATGCTCTCTTGCATTGTCTTTACTGTATTTCTGCTACCATCCCAAAGGGCAATCTTTCTCAGATAGATGCAGATCACTCCCAACCAAATTAATTTTGATCTTCTTTAGAAAATAAGTAAGATGACTGAGAACACCAGAGCAGCACCACCAGATTTATACAGACATAGAACCAAGACAATTACATCACTTATCGCAAGTGATTTGTGCTGAACTAGAACATATTTTGAATACTGCTCTGCTAGTTCGGTTTCATGGAAACACTTTCTTGACTCATGCCAGTGAAAATGCTAATAATCACTTTCTTAACTTGCGGCAGTATTTTCTTCATTCATGCCTACAGTTCAACTAGACTTTTAGAGTAAGATATACCTAATTGATTTTAGTAAGAAACATGAATGCCAAAATGGATGACCTAGAAAAGAGAGGGACAATATTCATATATAGCATGGCATAATGGTAAATATGTTTCAGCAAAATCTGAATGTGGAACATCAGGTTTTTACCACAGGACATTCCCCACTATGAAATATGAATACACACATAAATGTTTTATGGTAGAAAAACTTCTTTTGCTCCTGTATTTTACAGGATTGCAAGAAAGAGTTCAAATCCCAATCTTCTGCCTGGAGTCAAGATCAACTCTATTCCCAATTTTTTTTTTTAGCCTGTTACACTATGTATTTATGTCTTAGAACAGAGCTTTTTCTGCATATTATTGTGTTGGTAGCTTTTTTTTTTTTGAACAAGCAAGTATAATTATGTTGGTATCAGTATTGATTTTGTACTAACAGCTCCAATATAAAGAAAGAGCTATTGCAACAACCCTACTGCTTGTATACTTTTCTAAAATTCACATTGCTGTATATGAGTCAGTGTCTTTTGTAGCATATTGGTAGCAACAAAATACCTCACCTTAAATATCAGAGCAAGATGATTGGAGTGTTTCTCTGCATTCCAGGGAGGTTTAGCACAAGCCATTTCTATAACAACGCAGCCAACGCTCCACACATCACAGCTCCTACCATATTGCTGACCTCTCAGAACCTGAACAGACAGACCAAACCTCAGATTATCCACTTCCAAGTATCTTAACTCTAAGTAATTTAGATGGGGGGGAAAAAAAAAAAAAATCAACCAAGTGCACTCTGATTAACATTTCAGGTTGAGAGAGTGATCAGTGATGTAAATGCCGTAAGATTTATACAGCTGTAGAGAGCTAGTAAATAACATGCCTGATCAAGGGGCAAAGCAAAGTACCTTGCAATGGTTAGCTTTTGACCAAAATGGTCATTTGGGCTTTAGTAACAATACTTATGATAGACACAGCTTGTAGCAAGCGACTTAAAACAACTTTTGACAGTGAGAATGAAATGTCATTATCGCCACGCTAGAATCATTCCTATGCTTTAGAACAAGTACATTTAAAACATATTTGAAGGATATACAGCAATTTTCTGTTATTTGGCTGTATGAATTAGCTTAAAGAGTTCAAACAAACTTGAAGTAACTTCCAAAACTGGTTTCTTACCTCCGGTGCCATAAATGCAATAGTTCCCAACAACTGCCCCTGAAACTCCCCAGCACCAGTTCCTTTTGATGCCAACCTGGCTGCAGCTCCAAAGTCAGCAATTCTTAATCTATGACCTGTGCTGTCAATTAGCAAATTGGCACCTGTCAACAGCATAATAAAAATACTGCTAGTTGGCTTTCTATTAAAGGCAAAAGGATGAACAGACACTCTTCCTCCCTCCATTTCAAAACTATAAATAGGTTGATGTTCCCCACCCCCAATATCAAGGAAAACTAAAAATCAAGGACAAAGTATAATAATGTCACTTTTCTGTTATGCCTGAATGATACTGAGCTTGAGGCTGTCCGAGAGATTTAGAGAAACAATCAAACTTTCCAAGTAGGGCAAACACAGGATTCTGGAACAATGCCTGGAGATGGAATAATGAAAGAAAATGGTGACCTAAAACCCTGGAGGTTTTCGTTGCCTGCAGCTCCCTCTGAAATTTAAACTTATTTCATCCTTAAGCAACTTTGAGTTGTCTTGAAAAGAATTACAGAGCAATTAAAAGTTTTCCTATTTTAAGAAGAAATATTGAAAGACAAATATTTGCCACTGCTATGTTGCTACTTATCTGGATATCTCTCCAGTTCATGGACAGCTACAGTGACATTAAAGGGAAAATTTTAGTAAGACTGGTATTTCCCAATAAAGTCCACACTTTGCTCAAACACTGTACAACTGTATTTATGTTCAGTTAGGATGAAGGAAGAAAACTGACCACAATATTCCTATGTATTAGAAACCTGACCTCTTTTTCCTGGCTTATTCACAGATTTTCCTATCATTTCAATGTAAACATTCATATTAATTTAACTAGCAATCTTTAAAGCAATACAGCAACTTCATATTTTATTTGAATTTTGCAAAATTGAGAAAACCGATTTTTCTAAACTATCGGCACAGGTAGCAAATACCCCCAATCATGCTACGAACTTTCTGATTAATTTTGGTAATTAAAGATTCTTCAGAATGATCAAACCCAATAGAAATACCACTCTTGAGATGGTATCTGAGAGAAGCAATAGATCTCAAGCCAAAATAGATGCTGCTTTCTGAATATTCCTTTTTAAAAGACATTCTAAGTGATTCTCACCTTTAACATCTCTGTGGATTATCTGATTCTCATGGAGGTAAGAAAGGCCACGTAACAGTTGTTCTGTGTAATTAATAATAACTGATTCTTTGAAGGCTCCGTATTTACTTAACAAATGAGCAACTGAACCTCCTAGAAGATAAAAAAATGCATTTTATCCACCCTTATGTTTTGTATTGGTAGTGTGCACCATTGCCTCCTAAAATTCAGACTTGGCCTTGGTATTCCCAACGAGGTTTCTCCCCGCCCCCGCCAGAAACAACAAAAAGTTTCATAGGCAAAAAATAATATACATGGTTACTTAACTACTTTCTACCTGGAACTGTACAAGTTAAAGACATTAAGTCTTCATGCTTCCTAATGATTTTATACTTCCTTAAAAGAATGTACAAATCCCTTAGTGTACAAAGTACTGTTGCCAATAGGAAACTACACATTTATCCACATTTTGCATACATTTAAGCAGCAGAACACTAGATTTCTTTGGGGTAATAGAGATATGAAGCCTCCTGTAAGCATTCCCTCTGAGGATCTTAATTTACTTTTGTTACCATCCAAGTACCAACATTTAGAAGCAAGTAGAGAAGGAACGAAAAGCGGTATCTTCCTCTGTTTTCCAAAACCGATACATAGATCATCAAGATTTTGGATTTCCATTGTGCTTCTCAAAGTATTCTAATATAAATTGGGTTTGAATGAGGTAAAGACAATTCCTGACATTTCATTATCTAAATAATATTACTTCAGAAAAATTATACTTAAAAAGTTAAAACACCCCCTTAGTTTTGAGAAAATGCTTTCTGCACTACTGCTTGTAATAACACATACTTGAGCTTTGCTTGTTATCACTCTGGTATTGCTAAGTGGTTTCTGCCAAAGAATGCAAGTTAAGGTGCAGTGCTTTCTTTTGTAAGAAATAAGGATGCATAAAACACCAAATCTAGTCTTGGTAACTGGATGGCAACAACATATAATCCCATTGATGAAATTAATAAAGCTCCTTCTTAAAAAAAGGATATAGAGTTTCTTGTCCCTGCTCTATATAATAATGAAAAGATTTTTGTTTTAAGATAACTGTTTGTTACTAAATTACTGCTTAATATATTTAAGATTTGAACATGTTTTTTTCCAAAGCATCCTGCTTACTACGTATTATTAGGAGTTTACTTCAAGTTCTTAAATGCCTTTTCGTGTCACCTCACAAAATTTTAATGAAAGTGCTTGGGACAAAACTAAGTGACAGGTATTCCAAACTTGCTAGCAAAATTATTTTTAACAATAAGTTAAAGTTACACAGGTACACTGAAAATGCAAGTTTGACGTAGTTCCAACTGAAGTGCCTGTGTCTCAATGTTTCTAAATCCCTATTTAGATTCAGAAATTGAGGAAAAAGTAGTATAATTTTTGTTCAGGCTTCCAACTGTTTTAACTGTATGACAGATTAGATATCGAAAATTCCAAATCAAAAAACGGACGCACCAGTAAGAATATTGCTATGACCACTGAAACTGTTCTGTAAGGAGACCTTTATACTGGTTACCAACAGCAATGAAGGTACAAATTTGCAAACTGAAGTGATCCAAAATGCAGTATGAAACTACACAGTTCGAGACTCAACTGATATTTTACTTTTCTTTGCCACAGTAGTTGTTTACCTGCCATCCATTCAATAAAGAGGTTATAGTTGCTCTTCTCACATGTAGCACCCAACATGCGAATAATGTTAGGATGGTTCAGATGACTCATCATCCTTATTTCTTCTCTCAGTGCTTCAACTACCTCTTCTTGCTCAGATGATGTGTTCCTGACATATGTCACCTGTTTTGAAATATGATATTCAGATTTACACCAGTCCTGTAACCCCCCCCTTCAGTACAGTAACAGGAATGGATGGTTCTTCATCCATTTTCACCATCTGGAAGTAGCCAGTATACTTTTATCTGAAGCCCCTTCAGCTGAAAAAATATCTCCATGTGAGACAGTCATAGAAAATTAAGAGTGATCTGGGGAAATACCAACAAAAATCTTTTCAAGTATGGAGTGGGGAAACTTCCTTCTCCTCTGCTTAAACTAGGAAAAAAAATTTTTTTTTCAGATGTTGAAGAAAAGAAAGAAAGATAAGGCCTGAAATGAGATTCTGCCAGTGTTGTTATTTGTAAGATTTTTACCAGTTTAACCATACTGTTTCATAACTAAACCTCTTATCCCAGAAATCTGGGGGGTTGGGGACAGGGGGAGTGGAGCAGATCAGAAGTCCTGTAATGGCACTGGAGCCAACCCCAGCTCTGGTCCATACTAAATCCAAAACAATGGTATGCTGCAGAGCATTTCCCCTGGGCATCAGAATCGTCTCTCTAGAAGGAGCCACAAGGACTACATGGACAGTCCTACTCTTTCACAAGCAAGAGAGTTTCAAAGAAGGAATAGCTGATGACAAATATTCTTTCCCTGATTAAATGTTTTGAAATTGCTCAATTCCACAGGTATAAGTTCATTCTAGAATTAACAAGAAAATGTTAGGACTAAGATACCCTCTATGTTGGTATCACTGATCAGACCAAGGGCACCTTAATTGTGAAAGATTTAATCACATCTAGAACCTAAAAAAATCTTGAGTGAAGCATGTTATTTTGGGCCTCCTTTTCTCAGTTACACTTCTGTATCTATTAATTTATGTATTAAAAATGCTTGCCTCAGAGTTGGCTGTTGGATCAGAGGAAACAAGCATTAAACTACATTTCCTCTGCTTAAACTGTTTTAGGGGAAAAAAATCTTGACAAGGGGAAGCTACTTTTAATAGCTACCATGCAAATAGGGCATTAATTTGGAATCAAGAGATCTGGGCTCCATTCCTAACTGTCACTGATTTATGAACTTGATAAAAGCAAAAATGCATTTGAAGAACTATGAAAGAAAATGGGAATATTAAAAAAGTATAGTTTTTTCTTTCATTTTAAGGAGAAGTGAAAAAGACTGAAAATATTATGTTAATACCATGCACATAAAGACTTTTAATTATGTATTATGTGAGAACACACGACAGGGAGCAAAGGAAGCAAGAACACAAGAAGTCTGTAAGAGCAGAGAACATTTATATTTAATATTCCAAAGAATTACTAAAGAACAAGCACAATATATTCAAGAAAGTGAAGTATTTGAAGTATTTACCTGTTTTACAGCCATTAATGTCCCTGTTCCTACATCTTGAGCTTGGTAACAGGACGAGAAAGCTCCAAGACCAATTTGCTGACCTTTAAGCCATTCCGCATCTTCTCTGTAATGGTGTTTTGCTTTGGTATGTCCAGGCAGAGTTTCTGGTGTCTGCAAATTAAATTCCAAATCAATTCCATGTTTACTAGCATGCATCTAAAATGTAGTTATTCTGGAAGGTTATGAAATATCCAAGCTTATATGTCCCTCCTGTCCCTTGCAGTTCTTCATACTGCATGTTAGACATGTTTCAGCTGAGACCAGAACACTAGTGTATTCCATAATCCACATACTCCTACTGTATCTAAGAACAGAGCACCTCCTCTGTGTTACTACCTGAAGGTGAAAGGCAAGATTTAATGACACAAATAGGAGCAAGACCTTTTTCTATTCCTGATCTCATGTCTATTTAAGGTTTTAGTTAGCACCTATAGTAAGCACGACCAAAATCATGTTTCTACTTAATTTATTTCTCCCATTTTACACTTCACACATTGTTACTTCATGCAAAGCACCACAAATAAAATACTCCTTTCTCCATTCTTATTTCTTGTGCTTTTGTCTATTTGCAAACAAATATCTTTTTTCTGACTTCTAAAGTATCTCACATCTCTCTCAAGATGTGCCAACAAGAGGATCTCTTCCAACTCTGCCTTTTCTTTCGGAAATTAGTTTGGTTTTGTACAATTGCCTTCAAAGTAAATCAGCATTAAGACTCAGTACAGTTCTACTCCTGCTTAAAAACTTTGTTCTCATTTCCTGGTTTCCCCACTTTTACACTTCCTTCTTTGCCATTTTAAAGATTGGTACATGACATGATGTTTCTCTTCCAAATACCTTCTCTAAACTTCTTAATAACCACAGAAAGATTCTGTTAGCACCCTCAAGTGGCAGAATGTTCATACTCCAACTCCTAGGAGAGGATATTGAGTACCTTTGTGTTTTACGTAACTTTGGAAATATAACAGCACTGCTTTATAAATTCAGTGAACCTCAGCTGAGACTTGTACTAAATTCCCATATGTATACTTACATCCTGCTGAAAAAAAACCATTTTCGACCTGTAGTTGGGGAATTATTGGCAGGGCATCTTGAGATGCTGACATTGCCATAGCGATAGCTAAAGCTTCCTCTTCTTCAGCTTCCATCTTTTCCTTGCATTTTTGATTATGATTTACATCATCTTTGTAAGTATTATCATTTTCTGCCCGCTCAGGAGAAAGAACTGCCACTTCAGACTTGAATGTAACTGTGCCATCACTCGTTGGCATGGAGGCCTCAAGTAGGTCCTCAATACTGGAGTTGAGCTCTGCATTAACATCCAATCGACATTTTTCATCTACTGGTGTGAACACTGTCTCTTCACTTGGTATAACTGCACTGCTGCTACTACTACTATTGCCATCACACTGTGAAATATCATTCAGGTCAAGTGTCATACTGTTTTTTAAGGTTTCTCCCTGCTTGTTCACATCACTTGGTGTGGGTCGTGATGGCTTTGGCCTGTGTATGTGACTGGATGGCAACGGCCTGGCTTGGGTAAAAACTGGAGAAAGTTTCTCTGGTTCTTTATTTTCAGAACAGTTTCTCTGAAACTGGAGAGAAAGTTTCCGCTGTGTTTGAGGAGAAGGTAAAGGGATTTTGCAGGGAACGAATCCCTGAGGTCTAAGTTTAGAGACATCTGTTACAGTGCCAGCTGGTACAGATGGGTTTGAAGGAGACAAAAGCGTTGGGAATAGTGACTGGGAATGACTGGATGAGGGAGAAGAGTTCAAACACTGACTGTGGGGTTTTCCTTTTGTTTGAATGGCTGGCTTTGGTTGCTCAGTGGTTGCTGGTGAAACAGGAAGTCCCACAGCAAGGCCAGCCAGCATCTCAGAAATGTCCTCTGGACTGGCACTCAGTTTTTTATCACTTAAACCTTTCCCACTTTTCCCTGATAACTGGACAGTATTGTTAGGAGTATTACTTTCTGTAGCTTCTGGAGAGTTATCTGGTACAGGTAGCTGCAAAAAGTCTTCATGTCGACATTCCCCAGCCTGCATTTCTTCCATGCCTAGCTGGATGGCTTCTGCAATTTCCATTTCATCTGCTATTGCCATCAGACGTCGACGCATCCTTGCATAATGAGTTGAGCTTGTCACACTCAACATCTCTAACAGCTTTACAAAAACATGGGGCACTCTTGCCACCATTCTTGCTGCACTCAAAAATACTCTCCGTGACAGTTTACCAACCATTGAGTGGGAATTGTCAATTGACTGCAAGGCGAGAGTTAAGAGGGAGAGAAGTTTCTTATACCTAAAAAAAAGAAAAGAGGTGTTTTATATCCTGATATGCTCTAGTTAACTAGTGCCAAGAAAGCCACTTCAAGATAACATACTTAGCTGTCAGTTCTGCTGTAGAAAGGAAACTTATTGCTGCACTGGTGCTTTAAAATTGATTTACAGGTCAGAAGTTTTTAAACAAGGCAACCATTTACTCTGTAAAGTGCATTTTTGCATATAAATATATACTATTTGTTTACAGGAATTAGAACAACTATTTTTTTTTGAAGAAATCACCAACACCACATTCAACTACGAAGAGTAATAGTCACATAGGGTAAGCAAATACCTGTCTACTATGGTATCAGCCTGTAAAACATCTCCACAGACAATGTGGGGATAAAATTCACCAGGAAATTCCAACAGAAGTCTGTCTATTAGACAAAGTCGACCCAGTAGCGCTTGCCAGTTGCTAGACTCAGTTTGGGTTCCGAGAATACAATTTAAGACATAATCAACACCACCAATACCAATGGACCCTATAAAAAAAAGTTGATAAAATAAGGATTAGATATGTTCACAGTCTAAATTCTGATCTAAATAAAGATCAGAACTGTATCATATAAAAATACACATCATGTGCCCAAATTATCCCCCTGCCAAACTGCTGAAATACTGTTCTCTTTGCTGTGCTGATATTGCATAAATCCTGCATTAAATTTAAAACACTTCAATATATTCACTTGTAATTGTAACTGAATTATATATGAAGAGCTATTATTACCAGATTTAAGTATTTCTCTCCCAACTGCCAGCTCGCCTGCTTGGCCTTTACACATCTCCAATAGTGTTGAGACTGAAAGTTGACTTGTTCGACTATAAGAAATTAAAACCAAAAAATAACTCTTAGCAGATGCTTTCAAGGAAAAACATTCTAATCATTATATTTCAATAATCATTAGCTTGGAACTGGGCATGGAAAATGATTTCACATCACTTTATTCCAATACATTTCTATAATTCTCTATGTGTAAGCTACCAATAGTTGTGACATTTTTTACAAGGATACATCCAGAAATGTAATGTCTATCCATAATAAATAAACAAAAACCCCAATAGGACCTCATCCTCTTGCAAAAAAAGGCCAAATCCAGGAATGCAGCAACACAAGGAACAGTTCTATTTCACTTATTCCTTTAACTTTAGATATTGTATTGCTAAGACTATTGCTGGGGCATCTTTAGCTGCAGTTACAGAAGAAATGCTGCTCAGGAGCTAAACCTAAGAGACAAAAGTCAAGCTGGTGGACGTCTGCATCTAGTTTACAGTACAGGTGAAGAAATGGTTGGTCTGGCAGAACAAATGGGGTAGCTTGGAACAGGAAGACAAGGCCTACTCAAGCCAGAAATGCCAAGGGCATTCACTCAGGACAGCCATCTCCTAACATTAGACTGTGAAATAAAAAGTAGAAGTGTTATGTTAACACTTCATGGCACAGATGTACAACAGCTTTTGTTGAAGTAGGAAACATACGTGATTGGTACTTGCTGAAGGGTACTTGTGACTGCTTAAAGGTGAGTCATGAGAATTAGACAAAAGCAATATCAACTAAGATGGAGGGAATGGTTGATGACTGCACCTAACATCTTCCTTTATTTTAAGGAGGAAGAAAGGCCTTAGGAAAACAAAGTATCATTTAAGATCTATTATGTTGGAAAAATACAGGTGCCTTCAAAGCCTACATCTTTCAAGCCAGAAGTTTGTTGGTAGCAATTAGACTTTAACAAAAACAAGATATATTTACGCTTATGATCCACACATTTTATTTCACCACCAACTATAAACGGTCTCCTAGTTCCACATAAATAGCAACAAATGAAGCTTCAAGACATTTCAGTAACAATCCAAAATAAATTTGAAGGTCATGAGACACCATACCTGTTGGCATCTGCACATTTAACTAATATCGTCTCAACAACTGGCTTAAGAAGTCGCTGTAGTTTAGTCCTCTCTGCCAAAGTATGACAGGGAGTATATACCAGCATGGCTCTTAAAGTTTTCTAAGAGAAAGGAAATAAGCAATACATATGAAATCAAATTAGCTGCATGGTTTTTAAATTGTTTGAGAGAGTTGTAAATAGTTTTATAAAATTGTACTCAAAAGATCAGTGAAACATTCAAAGGATAAATAGCTTACTACATATGCACTGTTGGAATTAGTCATGTATTCTTTGAGACTGGAAAGAACCTAGTCATACAAGTACTGTTAATACTTAGCACTGTGGCAAGCATTTCCTTATATTTGGCCAGGGGAGTCATGCCATTTCGTTCTTGCTGAGGATTTTGTTCATCCTGCTTTCAGATGATGGTTAAAAGTTAAGTCACCAGTGGTGCTCAACAACAATTACTAGTATTCCTGACTTCATGTATCTCCTTCCCTTTCCCTCCCCTTCAAACATGAAGTAACTTCAAAATTACTAGAATACAATGAGTAAATGGCTACTTACTAAAGCAGCAACATACACTTTGTAGACAGGGTCAGCACAGACCATGGACAGCACACTGCAGCAGGATTCCACCACCACATCTCCTGAGATACTGGTCTGAGATGACCCGCTAGCTGCTCCCAGAGCTCCAGCACTTGTGTTGTTTCCATTGCTACCTCCAGAATTTCCAGTGCCTTCACCATTAGCCAGTAATAGAGCACCACTAACATCATGGGAAAGACGTCTAAGTGCCATCTCTCGTATATTCCAGTTTCGAGAAAACAAGCAGCCAACTAACTCCATTCCAAATACCTGCCAAGGAAAAAAGCAATGTTACAGGAGTCAAACTGAAGGATACTGCAACTGAAGTACCTAAGAAGAGCAATCAAAAAGAGGAAAGAAATGTTTCTGGTAAAAAAAATCACCTTAAGAAGTCTGACAGCAAAAATGTGTCAGAAAGTACAGTGTCTTAAAAAAGATTCTGTGATAGAAATGAAACATCATAAATGGTAAGTCATTGGTTCTCCAAAAACTCTGTTAAGAGAAGTGGGAGGATGACTATATGGATGGCTTCATTCACTTTGAATTTTTATTTTTTCAGTATAGAGTTTATTTCTAGACATTGATATAAACAACCCTGAAACCAAAGTCCGGCTATACCAGACAAAAATTAGAGCAGACTTGGAATGGATAGGTGATACGAGTTCTCTCACTTAAGTGTGACCCCTGCTCAGCTGAATCCACCTCCTGACTCTAGAAGTTATTTAGGTCATTCAGCTCCTGCAGCACAACTTGGGTAACAGTAAGTGCCAACTTTATATTTATGTCACACTTGCACAACCAAAGCTAGAGTTAAGAATACTACATTTTATCACATGGACCTTTAATATGAGTCCTGAGATGGGAGTCCAAAACTGAAACCCCAGTTGAAACAAGACTGGAAAACCTTCTCTTCTGATGCAAGTTAAATATAATTCTTTCCAATAATAATCAACCATAAAGCTGATGGGATTCAGAGTAAGTTTTTGAATTATTAGTATGACGAATCTAGCAAAACAGTTCAAAATCAGTTTTTGCATTTGAAGCTTCTTTTACAAAGTAAAAGCTACCTGAATCCATGGCTCAGCTAAATCTTTATAGGCAGAAGGGATGTGCTGGACCCCATAATGTGTAAGGTTAAAATTGCTATCTTGAGTTCTTCTCTGTGATCCAGCTGTAGATTGCTGCTGAGTTTGTTGCTGAACCACACGGAGAACAGAAGAATCCACAGGGCTTGGCAAATCATGACTACAGATTAACAACAAATAACGTGGATTAACAAATGAAACATTTACTGAAGTAAATACTTCAGTATATTTAGGAACATCAACTAAGGATCCAGAAACAGACAGTTTGTTATACACAGACTGAATCCTTACCTGTAGAAATCATGAGATCTCCATTTAGATCTACAAAGTGGACAGATAAGTGGCTCTCTGTTTCTTCTGCATTCTTCTGCCCCTGAAACACAGCAACAGGATAATATGTACTTCAGTTTTACAGTATATAAAACAAGAAGATGGCATTACTATTTCTAAGTTTTACTGAAGAAGGTTAGTTTCACGATAAGTGCTTCTTAACTGAGCCATTTGCAGCAGCCCGAGAAATACAGGCATTTAAGCATTTTTTTTTCATACAGAAAATGCTTCAGTTTAGCACTACAATTAATATTAAAAGTTTTGAACTGAAATGCAGTTCCTTTTGTACCTCAAACATAGGCAATACTTCTTCAAAAGTAGTAAAATACGGGAGATGGAATTTTATTTGTTAAAGCAAACTGTAACTCTTTATGTACTTCATTTAAAGTAGTATGTAAGTGTACTGGTAATTCACTATGTAATCCTAGCTGATAGCAGATGACTTGCATGCAAATCACAGAGGGCTAAGTCTGTTCCTAATCTTGCTCTAATTGGACATCATCTCTTTACTCGGGTAAAAGAGGCTTAAACTTCTAGACCTGCAGTTAACTTCTTTCTCAAAGCATCAAATTACAAACTTGATTTGTGAGTAACTTGATAAAATAAGGCATATCGATAGTACCCAAAAGATATCAAACTATCAAAGAGCTATCTGTCATCACTTAAGAACAGGTTTCTGATTTGGGGGTTTTGTTTTTTTGTTTTGGGGTTTTTTTTTTTTCACTTCTAAAACAAACAAAAATCCCCAATGAAAACACACTAAGTTATAATACTTTTGCATATTTAGAGTCACCAGAACTTAACAACACAAAGATGACAGCGTACATATTGACATGCAGTGGTGGTGTAATTTGTTCCTGCAGCCATCTTCACACACAGTTAGGCTCTCTTCATCCAGCATGCCTAACAAACAAATGGGGCACATCTGTTCTTCTTCATCCTTCATACTATAAAAATAGATATTTGTGATTGTAAAAGTGGCATATCAGAATTCAGAACAAGCTTTAATAGTGAAAAAAGATTAACTTCCAGTTTGGAACAGTCAATCCAAATAACTATAGGCTATTCATGAATCATTCTCCTCAACCCTGGTCTGGATAAGTAAGCAACCAAATTTTTAGAAGCACTGAGTACAGACAACACTTTGTTGAAATGAAAGGGAAAGTCATAAAATTCCTGACATCTTTTCAAACTAGGTCAGAATCCGATTAGAGATTGAAAGGCCCAACCTTGGGCACTTACTTTTTTTTCCCCTAGGGCTTCTTTAAACAAACCAGCCTTTGCTTTTTTACTTATCATTTGGTTTTGAAAACCTAAGAAATTCTTATGTTTTGAAAGCTACCCACATTGTTTTCCATCACACTCCTTTCAGCATATTGAGTCACAAGGTACTCATTAGCCCATTACAGGAAACTGTAAACACTATTTGAATAACGTTATGTAAAACTCAAAAAATTAACAGAGGATAACAGCCACTCAAGAACTGTCTGCCACAAACAGAAACAGATGCAATAGATTCACATGAACACTAACATACCTACACATCACATGGGGATTTAAAAAAAAAAAAATTCCCTGTTTTACATGCTGCTTCCATTTTATATACCCCACCTTAATTTTTAAACACGTATAACCAGAGATTTAGCCAGAAAAATTATTTTGAATTTCAACAACACGTAGTGAAAACCACATATTTTAATCTTCTGTAATATTGTTTAAATGTGCAAAACTCTTACTGTTCATAGCAAAAATTTCTATACACATATATTCACTTCTGTTTCCTTGCAAATGGTTGACACTGTTTTTAGCCTTGAAAAATCCACAAAAATAAGCTTACAGTGAAAAATTCATTGCCACAGCAAGTATAGGAACACAAGAATTAATGTAAAACTTATCTCTGAAGAATTAGTAGTAAAATAATTGCAAGTCACAGTAATTATTAGAACTGATTAAACTTTTAACTCAAATGAATCTTACATTCAGTGTTCTCCAATATTTATATCATGCAACATTAGACTTGCACAAAACAGCAACTTATCTCATTGAACCAGTAATGCTAGGAACTAATCATCAGGTGTACTGGCAAACAACTGAAAAATCTTTCATCCTGTAAAAAACCGAGAACTAATGCAGTGAAGTTCACAATCCAGTGAAGCCAATTCTATTCTATTCTTTCCTACACAACGTATCTACATTAAAGGAACTGGCTTGCCAGATAAGTAGTTCCAGAGTAGATTATGTATTTAACTGCTTTGTTTATGCAAATTATTTACAGCGACACAATTTGGCAGTTTGGAAAAATAAGTAAAAGATTACAAGAAATTAAGGTCACAATCTGTACATCAGAATTATAAACCTATCTGAATATATTCATCTAACTGTAGGCTTATTATCACAAAGTAACATATCAAGGTACTCCTTAAGTTAGGTTTCCCTTTACACAAAAGAAAGCCTCAGTTTAGGTTGCCTTCTGTCATTTGACCTCTAGAAGATGTCTGTTCACCCACTAATGCATGCACAAATCACTTGTTTAAAAAATTAACCAGTATCTTTCCAAAATCAAGGAAAAGAGCATGTAAATGCACTCAAGTAGTAGAAATCGGGGGGGTGGGGGTGTCAGAATCAAACATCACTTAAAATTGATAAATAAGGCGTTGCTTAATATTGTTTAAACTATTAAGATTCTTATAGTTTATTAGCTTCCTTAAAATAATGTAATTACCCATTTTACATGAAGTGGGTTTTTAAAATATATGCTTATATTGTTATATATTTTTTAACATATGTTTACAAAAAACAAGAGTGCATTTACCCAAAAGTTTTTCAGTATATTGTCACAGGCACAAGCATTTCTCCGAAGCAGAACAAGAGAAAAAGAAAAATCACATTTCTTCATTTGTCAACATTTGCACAAATGCTGTGAACATTTGAACAAATGCACACAAACAGGTTTCCAAAGTTAATATATGCTTCAGTCTTGCACTTATATTTCAAAAGTTTGTTTCCCAGATTCAGAAAGGGTCAAAAAAATTTGTTTCACAACTCTACTTAACATTTTTCAAACAGAAGTTATAAAGCAAATATGCCCACTTGGTACCACAGTGACTAATGTATGCTTGAGTCGATTGTTTGCAAATACAGAGACTTAACATGGCTTGACATGAAAGCAGCTTTGAACAAAAAGAATGTAGGTGATTCTAAACCTCCAAAATTAGAAGAAAACTATAGAATAAGGTTTTTAATTCCTTTAGAAAAATACTAACCTGTTTTCTGAACTAGATGTGGAAGTACTAGATGATGACAATGTATGAGAATTGGACATGCGTGAGACAAACTTCTGGATGGTGTTACGAGATGGAGCTTTGATCCTCGAGCTACGCCTACTGTGATATTTCTGGAACAAACTCTCAACCTAACATCAGAAAAAGATAGCAACAGTCGTATTTATGCTATGAATAGCTTGTACTTAAAAGTAATATTACTGAAGCTTAACTATTGCTAAAAAAAGATCTATTCACCTTCACAATAATGCATTAGCAGTAGTAGCAGAAGCAGGAATTTCAGAAGTCTTACTAATAAACAGATCACAAGAAACACTTTACAACAAAAACATATTTTCTTATTAAAAATAAACAACAGCTTTAGCTATACAACCAATTACTTCTGAAGACCCTAATTCTGTTTACCTTTCAGTTTATCAGCGAGACAAATATACAAATTTGAGTAGAAATTCCAAGATTTGAATCACTTACTAAACTACAGTGCTCTATGTTTTAGTTACATCTTTTATTTGCAGCTATTTTTTTTCTGCTTACAAAGTTCTTGAGACTGAGTTAAAGATATAATTAAAAACATATATTCTTGTTGCTTTGAAAAGCAACAGTTTTCAGCATTTTTAAGACAATGTCCCAAAGACTCTTATCTGGAGTGTATTTTAGATCTGCCATTAGATCTATTAGAAAACAATTACCTCAAAGTTCTTCAGTGTCTTTCTCCAGAGCATTGGGTCTGAGGGTTCAAGCTGGAACACCCGCAGCATAACAAACAGCAGATGAATACAAAATGTCCCACGGCCACAGCTACAGGTCTGCAAAGAAAAGTATATGCTAAGGTTCTACTGAATTGATAATTACATAGATAATTTTCCCACATTTAAGTGCATCATAGCATATATACTACCCACTCCCTGCAAAAAGTAGTCATTTATGCAAACTATTTCAAATATAGGCATAAATGTCTTCTTTCATGGCCTTATAGAAAATGTAAATTGCCAAAATATTTTTCAGGAATATACATGGAAAAGCAGAGAGTTATTACACCAGTTTTCAACTGACACCCCCCTCCCTTTTAAATTTTTTTTTAAATCAACTGAAGCTATTGCTACACTTCATACTAGAAGGAATTTATGCATATAATCACCATATACCCATAACACGACAGCGATCAAACCTAAATGAGATGCTTCTGTTTACTCAAAAACTTAGATGTTCCGCAATGCAGCATCACATTAGTACTATGAAAGTCTACAAAAAGGGCCTCTCTATGGGTATTAATGAAATTATCACACCATTAAAGGAATTACGTCATGTGCTTGTCATCTATATATATATCCCATGAATAGCAGAAATAAAGTGTTCCAGAGTCAGAACTAGGAAAATGAAGCGGCCAAATTTAGGCCAAAAGTACTTAAGATACATAATTCAGAGCCACTTCTAGGAATGCAAAACGGACAGGGCAATAGTAATTGCTTCCAAACTAGAGGGGTTTTTTTGGTTTTTTTTAAAGGGAAACTTTAGACAAAACTAATATACTTGCTACATATTTGACAAAATACAAACTGATCTTTATATTACATGAGCACAGATTACAACTTTTAAACATTACTTTAAAGAACCCTTATCATGGGTTGGTGACTAACTCGATCTAATTTGGTTTTGCACATTTTTCCAAGATTAACTATAAATTAATAAAAGCTACAGACAACACAAAAACATCCTTTACCTGAGGCCCAATAAACACTCTGTATTTATTATCAGGGCTGTCTCCTCCAATTAAGAAAGAGTTGGGTCCTATCTGCTGCAGCAAGTACAGCCTGGCTCGCATAACTTTGTTGACACGACGATTTGTTTCCTCAGGGCTGTATGGAGAGAAGCCATCTGGAGATGGGGCTCGTCGAGGTGGTGTTATTCGTCCACTCTGAAACTACATAAGCAGTTCCATCATAAGCATTTCCAGGACAACAGTAAGTTTAATTAGGTGTTGGGGTTTTTTTCCCCTCCAAATGACAACAGAATAAGAGAGTGCCCGAAACCTGAAACTACTACAACCTGCTCAGACTATATGATTTTAAAAGGATTACTTTTCTCCATGCCCAGAACTTGACGGCAGAAAAACTGAAATTTTGTACCTGAAATTGTCTGACGTTACGACAGAAAAGCAGTCTAGTAAAGACTTGAAAATGGATGCAATTCATTGGTTGCCTTACCATATTATTACTGAATTAGCAAGTATAATTCCATCAGAAGATAATCATAGATTGTGACTCAATACAAGAAATTATTATATAAGGTTATAATGCTAATACATTTCATAAATGAAGAAATCCTATGACTACAGTTTACAAAAGGGAATATATGCTCAGTGAAGAACAAAAGTTGAAGAAATTCCAAAGAAAAGGAAAAAGGATACAGCTTCCTCTCCTTTGCACAATTAAAGCAACTTTCAGCTCAGGATGAGGTTTCTTTTTCTTGTTTTGTTTCCCCATGATCAAAAATTCAATGGCCCAACCTTTTATTAATATTGTTTTCATTTAAATTCTTCACATTTATAACATTATAAGATGCATTAATGGCTCTGTCCAATTTCAAATCTTCTGCTTTCATTTATATCCACTTTGAATTTTATGTTATGGTGTAGGTTATAATTGACTCATTGTCCATCAGTTAAGTAAAAGATAGCCTGAACGTCTAAGTTTTTTCATGTGAAAGGTTAATATAAAACAAAGAAATACAATCAAGTAGAAAGGGATCAAAGACTAAATCAGATAGTTTGGTGGGTTGTTGTGGTTTTCATTTGTGGTTTGGGTTTTTTTTTTTTTTAACCTTTCAATTTCTCTTGTCAAGAGGAAAGGCACTGTGCTGCAGGGCTGTAGCTTGTAATATTCATCCCTAGTTCACAGGAATGGCAGCACATGTTTTAATTGATTTTGGAAATTTTGTTTAGAGCAATGGGACAATAAAAACAATTAGACCTTATTGCACTGTGAAGTTGTAGACAAGTCAACTGAAGCTTAACTGTGGATGAGCATTTTTATAACAAGCAAACCTATTAGATACTATTGCTCAAAATATTATACTCTTGATCTTCTTTAATGAAGCCAGTTGCTATTGCTCAAAACATTCTATTCCAGATCTTCTCATATGTAATGACAGCGACTTTAGTCTTCTAACAATGCACATATCTAAATCTTCCCTGATCTGTACATAAAGATCAGTTCTGGAATAGAGGATCACAAATAGCATACCAGTAACAATTTTCTGCAGAAATCTTAATCCAGTCAACAATCCTATCCCTGATGGAATATACCTGCCTGAAGAACCGACATGCAAAACTACAGGAAAAAAACCAAACTACTAGCACCTCTTCGTGCAAATCAAGCTAAGAGAACATACATGTCTTCATGACTGAGTATATTTATTGATTTATTTCCTAGAAATAAAAACTGAAAGCAGGACTGAATTAAAAGGAAAACACACACCTAAGAGTAGAGAATAAAATTCCACACGAGCAGCGTAATGTGAGATATGCTCCGCGTATCTCACTCAAGCAATAACCTGTCATAATCCCTTTATATTAGCATCTTGCCCTACACAGGGAGGATTAATTGCCTCTATAAGCAAAAGATTGCAGAATATAGCCAAATTAAAAATTACATTGCAGCTTGCAACTTACAGGCACTGGAGATACCCTTTTTCTTCTAACACCTGGAGATTCAGATTTAACCGTCCTAGAAGATGATGAAGAGGAGCTACTAGGAGAAGGACTACGTCTTCCTTTCTGTGTAGGTGAAGCAGTGCTTTGTCCTTCAGCTTGAGATTCTAGAGAGACTTTGTTCATTTCTGCTCCATCTCCTTTCCCGGGGATAGGTTTCACCACCTTGCAGGAATTAAACCATGTGTTAGAATTACAAATTGATCATTTTAGACTAAAGCAAAACAAATTAATCAAAACTTGTTTTGCTAGCATTATGTAATTAAGCCATCATCCAGACATCCAACATTTGCATAATCCCTAGGTTCTAATATTAAACATCTAATAGGTGTTACCTTGTTAATCTATATACAACACAAAAGCAAGAACTTTTTTCTCTGTCCATTTGTTCCACTTAGTTGTGGCAGTAACTGATTTGATACTCAAAGTACTTCTGTAATTGCCATTCCTGATATCTCAAAGGACAGTAGTTCTCCCATTTGGATAGTAGGAGCCAAAAGAATTTTCTTCTACCAGCATTATCTGCTTATTAAGAGCGATAATGTTGGATCCATCTGTTATACACAGTATCAGTGAGAAATACTAGGGTTGCTATTTCTACAGCACAACACTTGTTGCAAAGTAAAAATTACTTTAAACCTGGAGGCAATGCTGCAAATTAAGGTGTGCCGTACCCTATGAGAATCACACCTGGGTTTTCTGCCTGCTGTACAAGTAAAACAGCTACACCACATCTGGTATCTGAGCTAATCACCATGCACAGTGCTGCACTACATGCATAGACACATGTACTTAAGCAGAGTATATACACGTCTAATACAGTGCTTTATTGCATGAGCACTGAATTTTGACACTGAGGTATGGAATATTTCAAGACAACTTTCAGCTGCCTGCCTCTCAGACCCACATAATGCATGAAAACAGTAAGACCCCTGGGAATCAAATTAAAAGCAGTCACAGTGGGCAGATTCAGTTTTAGTTCTACGTTCCTCCATGTCTTAGTGGCTTGACTCAAAGGTGGAAGGAAGCTCCAAGTAACACTTCACATTAACAGCACACACCTCTTCTAGAAAGTTCCAGAGGTCTCTGATTTAGGCAAAAAATGGAAGGTGCTTTCCCAGCTCAGGGTATGGGGAGGAAGAGACATCCAGATGCAGTGCCTTTCTATCTGATGATTTGGACTGCATTCACAATCCACAAATAGCATGAAATGCCATTGGAAACTGAAGCTTTTAACTCATCCAACTGAAGCTATTCCACTATCCAGAAATGCATTTCAGTTTCACCAGGCTACTGGGAGAAGAGGACAATGAGGAGGTTGTGGTCTAGCAGTTAGGCACTGCCTAAAAGAAGAAAAATCTGCATTTACAGCCTTGATCCAAGCACTGCTCATTTTGCTTTAAGAAGTCACCACACTTAATGTATTGCAAACCTGAACTTTTCAGAAACATTTGTTGCTATTGTGTTTAAATATACTGCTATCTGATTATGAAAGTGAACAGGATAAAGGAGAAGTATAAAAAGCAATGCAGCCTTTTTTTCCTCCTACCAAATACTGTAATGCTTTTTCTTTCCTGGAAGGTCAGAATGCAAACTCCTGTGCCTATGGACAAGTTATAGTTATCACCTGCTAGTGCTTGAAAACATTTAAAACATAAAATAGTAGTAATTGAGAATCTGGAGTGCGTGAAGTTGTATTAAAACCCCAGAAACCTCAAGGGAAGTGGGCTGAGCAGGGAAACAATTTAAAGCTATGCAATAACCAAGATGCATTTAAAAATTTTTAAAGTAAAAATTGTTTTGTGTTATTTGACCCATTGAGGTATTGCTTTTTTGGTGCACTTGTAAGTATTTTCAATGTTCTTTCTCATGACCGAAAGTTACCAACAGAACCCTCTTATTTCTATTCTAGAAAAGCTGTCCCCAAACAGTTGTTTACTGCATCAGATGATCTTAGCTTTAAATTAGCACTCCCACCAAGTGGTACATGGGAGTCACATTGGTACACGGGAGTCACATCAACCAATGCAACTACACTTATGGGTAACTAATGGCTATTAATTAACCAGCATTATACTGAATAGAATTGTAACTATGCTTAATAAGCTTCAGATTTGATCTGCCCACAATTTCTTAAAACCACTTCCAAGCCGTTTATAGAAAAGCATTACCCAAAGGGCTAACAGAATACTCTAGCATCAGAAGTTTAGCAGTTGAGACTTGTGTGAAGGAGTTACTCAGCTTTGGTTTTTTTCTGGTTCTAGTTTGTTTTTTTAATCTAGCAAAAATTCCATACACTTCTGTTACAATACACAGAAAACTTTAACATTTTCAAACTAAGGAAAGGTGAAGTCATGAAACCCCTAAGAATCAAGGGAGTACAAAGCACTATAATGCAGTTTTGCACTCAAACTTTTTACCTAATGAATAGGAGCTACTTTTGTTGTTGACATTAGAGGGCAGTGTTGTCACGGTATTATTTTATACTACAGAAAGCAGCACAGCTATACGACTTTTTCTTAAAAATAAACCTTAATAAATGCATACATTTCAGAAAGTCAGCCACAGTTTCCTGTCAACCACTCATAAAAAATGAGCAGGAGGACCATAATTAAGAGTATGCAAATTGTTCAGAAAAAGAGGTTTCTAATGGAAAGAAATTTAAGGGATTTTTACTTGTAATAGCTGTTACAGATACTGCCCTTCCATCAGTGCCACTTACCACAGGGCCTCTCCTGCTTCTTCTTTCCAGCCATTCATGCTTCCAGGCTGGCATACACGTTGCCTTGAGTTTCTCCCTGATCATGCGCTCTTCTGGGCGGTCATCCATCTTCTGCAACCCCCTGAGGGTTTCTTTATTCTCCATGTCACGACTACAGCAAAGAAAAAAAAATAGTCATAACCACAATTAATTTTAGTTAAAGTATATAACACCACAGCATTCTAAAACTTTGTGCTATCCTATTCTTCCTCTCCTTACAACACAGCTGCTAAAACATTACCTCCAACTGACTGCAGCAAGCCCTTTAAGAGTTACAACTAATTTGGTAGTATGCCATTTGCAGCATACCTGTTTGATGGTTATTTCTTTAAAATGCATGTATTGCTTCTAACATTGGACACCCAGTAAAAAGGAAGGTCTTGGCAAATATTAAACCAATACAAAAATTACCCTATGTCATGTCATTCACCAAAGGTTTCACAAGTGTTGTGATAGTTTGTGCATTCCTTGGCAATTCAAAGCTTGCAATCCCTTTTTTAAAACAATTTACAAAATGAATATAAATCAATGGTGAAATTTTCCATCTTCATAGGATGCACAAGGATGAAACCATGTACGTAGTGCCTCTTCCTATACATGAACTCTTCCTCAAATAAGAGGACTTCTAAACTAATATACAGTAAGTATGTTTAAAATAGACACAGAAGTCATGAAAGCAAGGCTAGTGGCCTTGAGAGTTGCTTTCTGAGTGACTGATGACTCAAAAGCTCTTCAAGTTAGCTATAATTATAGCAAAATTCACAGCAAGTTTGTATCTGTAAAATGAAAGCGTAATCCATCTGGGCTTGTACTTCTTTGACCTACAGCAAAGTAGTTGCTTGTGATTACTGGCAACAACAAAAAAGCAAAAAATACTGTCAGACACTGAAAAACAAACATGAACAGTCTAGAAGATTTCCTGATTCTGTTGAGCTATCTGCTAAATCACCAAGAAAACCACATTCTTAAGCAGCAGCCCACGATCCCCACCCATCTTCTTCAAGTTAGCTGCCTTTAAAAATAAGCAAGCTTGATTAAGTCAACTCTCAAAATGAAATTTTATTTCAAAAATAAAAATCACAACTTAAAGTGGAAGATAAGACTATAAAATAGTTCAGTTACAACTGCTGCTGTCACGCCTGCAGTCTTCAGCTTCTAAAACATTTAGCTATGCAGTTAAAACTACATTTATGTACTGTATGATGACCTACAACATATTCCCTGTAACACTGATTGCAATAAGGTTATGTTAAAATCACAATCCCTATGTTCATCAGCAATATATTACTAAGGTTCATTTATCACAAATCCCTACTTAGAAAAACAAGAAGTTTTTGCTGGTCAGAAGGAATACTCCAGTTATTTTTTTTTCTCTCATTGTAGAGACAAAGGAAACAAAGTATTCTGAGGCAGGAAATAACTCTTCCTGTTCAGTGCTGAAACGTAATAAGCAGATGGATACTGTAAACAAAATACATTTTCTTTCAAGCAACATCTAAACCTACTGTTAGTAACTGATTTTAGACACTCAGAACTGTGTCTAGCAATTAAAGACTTAAAAATATTTATAAATAGAAACACAATCCACCTAAGAATGAACATTTTTTTCAGTGGTTAAGCATTAATGCTTGCTTAACTTCAAAACTAATGCAAGTGACATAGAAAACAATATTATGGAATTCAATGCTGGGACAAAGAAAATTTCTAGAAACAGAGACAAAAATACCTAGTGATAATTCATGAAAAAAAAAGATATTATAGCAACAAGTAGAGTCCAAATGGAGAACGTGCCTAAAAGTTTAAAATAGGGGAAAACCTATCGCATAAAAAGGGTCAACTCTGCATTTTTTCCTCAGTCAAAAAATCAGTTCGAAGACAAAAATCTTTGCATAAGTACAGTACAGCTCTGAAATAATATAGGTGCAAGTTAAAAATACTCTGTTTTTATATTAGTTATTCCATGGCATGAACCATCTCAGTTGCATGAATACTTTGTATACAAGACAGAAAACACTGTCCCAGCAGTGAAAGAATGACACAGTATTTCATTTGTTCATATAATCATGATTAACTTCCTAACTGATATAAAAAAAGTCTTTTAGAGGCCCTCAGACTTGAATTCATGAACAATGTAATACAACAGTGGAGGCTTCACAATCTGTACTTGTTCTCTAAAAAGCAAAAGCAACTATCTTCCTCTCATGTGACAGCTAAACCGATCTACTCTCGCCTGCACAAAGAACTCTTGTGCTTTTCCTCCATGCAGGTGGGAAAGACCAACTGAGTGGGAAAGACCAACCCAGTCTGAAAGCTTTTGCTTAGTAAACCATGGCTATCTTTTTGAAGAATTTAAGTTGTTATGTGCATTTTTATAGAACACAGTTTCCGAAGTGCTCAAAAAAACTTCACATTTTAACTCAAGCTTGACTAAAATATTTATTAAACATTCTTATACTGTTGGGTCTGTGGAAAAAATATTTTTCCTGTGACTGCACAAAGCTCCTGCATACTGCAAGGACATCCTCACTTTGTGGCCCGAAACTTGCAGGGTTTTTTTAATTATTTTTTTTAATCTAAAGTAAACCTGCTCATCTATTCCAGGCAAGCTGAAGTTTTCCTACATGACCATGGCTAGGTTGCCAGTCTCCATATCACTGTACCCCAGCACAAAATAAAAATAAGAAATCCAGAGCATATTCCACCAAGGACTTAACCCTGCAGGGTACTGAGCATTCTGATCTTCATTACAGCAAAACCTATTCATGAGTCAAGTTATCAATTTGCTTAAGTGACTGCCAGGTAGTGCTTTATTTGAACAGCAGTAACAAAGCTAAGAAGCAGGCCAAAAAAACCCAAGTCTCAGAGAACACGCTAGCCTGGACCAGGGAATCTGACATTTCTCAACAGCCCACCCTCTACTTCATAAGGAAGCGAGGATTTTGCTCTTTAATGTTTCAGCTTTTCATGAATCAAGCAAAAAAGGTACAAGGTTTTTTTCCAGGTAAAATTTAACTTTGACACTTTGCACCCCACCTGCCCCTGCCCAAGGCATCACTAAATTTTTAAACTTTTAATTTTTAAGTTCTTTTTATTAGTAGTTTTAAGTGCACAGACATCAGCTGCTGTATTATTAGTCAAGAAATTCCAAAGAAATGGATCTAAATTCTAATTCTAAAGTACTAAGCAAGCTCAACAGTGTGATCACTACTGTTTTTTAATGCATAAGCTCAGTGGTCTGCACATTAATAATGACATTATTCACTTTGGATTATTTGCTTCATGAACTATAAAACTAAATACAGCAAGATTAATGTACTGCATGGAAACAGTGTACTGCAACATCTTCTGCAATAGATAAGGCAAAACATTGTCCTTTGTTTCTGCGTTTTAGTTAGATTATTAACAACTTGTTCTCTATGGATCAACGATTCAATATTTTAAAACAAGGTATACAATACACATGTTGTTTAGCAAACTATTGTGAAATACACAAGCAAGTTTTACTTCTGAATAGCTCAGTGAATTTAATTCTCTGCAAGTAGTTTTCTTACAAAGGGCATACAATGGTATATGAAAGCTGAATCACAGCTCCAATTTATTTTCCTGTGCTTCTCAACATTTAGAAACAGTTAGATGTCTTGGCTTCTCTGCCATCTTATTTGGGCAAATCCAATAGCCACACTTGACCAGATTTTATTGGCAACAAGAAAACAACAAGAAAAAGGCAAATTCTGAAATAGGAAAGAGTCAATTCACCAAGAAAAGGGAAGTTCTGTCTGCTGTATCCACAAACACCCTATCATAGGGAGGAAAAAGGTTATTAGCTGCTGAGATTTTTTTTTTTTTTTTTTTGGCTGAAGCAAGTTAGCAAAGGTAACTTGCATACTAGCAGTGGTCTAACCATGGATGACCACAGAAAACATTCATGAACAAAAGCGGTCACACAGCAGCTCTATCAAAATAATCAATGCATTTAACAACAACAGGTTGTGAGGAGTAGAGCCCGGGGTTTGATGGAAAAGCACTGAATGAGAAGGAACAAATATGGGAGAAGTTATATATTCTGCTCAGTGCAAATGCCATAGATCGTGACAATCAATACTGGGGGCAAGCTTAGATGGAATGTACAGAGCTTATTTTGGGGACCTTAAGCAAGAATTAAGAATATGGGCACCCAGCTACCTGCAATCCAAGCCTCAACAGGTCCCACGAACACTGGGCTAGTCAGCTGGCCTGGAGGCATGCTAGGAGCAACACTCAGTGTGTGGGGCAGGGACAAAAGTTAGCCATTCCCTGAATTAAGGACAGCTATTACTGTTTTAGATAACTTCTTGCCACTAACAGTTCCAGTAGTGCTCACAGTTTCTCCTTCATCATTAAGCATTTTTAATGATATCCAGATCTGTAAAAAACCAAATCAGATCAAGATGGCCAAGGCATGGTCTGTCCTCCTGCCAGTCTCCCATTCCTTGTCCTCCTTATGCCACTACTGATGGCATCTATCATCTAACCATTCGTGTCCATCCTAACAAAGCAAAGGATCAGGTATGGCACATTCTAATAAAATGAAAAACTTAACAGGGAACTTTCTCAGCCTCGTACTAAATGGCAGCAACTGCCACTTCAAGACAGCATTGAACACTACTTCATAGAGACTAATGAATCTGGCTTCCTCAAGTAGTTACAGGGATTTTAGCCAAATGTTATGTAAGTGTGAAATTAAGTTCTATTCTTCGGTTAGAGTACCTGACAAACACAAAAGGGAAAATAATCATCATATTTCTTTTTTTCTAGGTGCCTCAGCTTCTCCAATAGCTCTTTATCATCTTCCCTTCAGAATAATGTAGGGTCCCTTCATTTGGCCAACACACCATCCACTGAAGCTACAAAGGAGTATATATTGAGTGGTACTCTACATCCGCTGTTTGCCTTTCACTCACATTAAAAAAATGCCACTTAGGTCATTTCGATGAATCACTAACAAGCATTCAGCATTATGAACACCCTTGTATTTACCTCAAATAAGCTTGTATCTTCTACGTACATTTTGAAACATAAAATACATTTATATGTTATAAAAATACAGAAAAAGCATAAATGGCACCC